TTGAATATTCTGAGTCTCAGTTCTTCACAGGTAAAAATGAGGATAGCAGATAACTTCCAGCATAGTTGCATGGATGGAGGGTGATGTATATATAAAGGGTCTCATATGAAGCCTGGGTTACAGTAGTGTCCAAAAATAACAGCAGTTGTGTTTATTATTGTTATGGATTACAAATACATTGATTAAAGAGTAAGTTTACCTCTTTGTAACTATAATGTCTCCTCAAAGTTTGTGAGAACTCAGTCAAAACTTCAGTGATATAGACATGTTAAGAAATGATTAAAGACAAGTTAGGTGACATAAACAAATTTTATTTCACACTTCATGAAGTGAACAGTCTCTTTTCAGAGAACTGCAAAATGGGGCAGAAGGTAGGAAGCTTCTGTGGGATAAAAAGTAAAGAACACGGAAGACAAAAATAGAAAGTATCTGATTGGGGCCACATAGTCAACCTTGTTTGGGGTGGGGAGGTGCAGAGTTGGCTTGGTGTTTGGGGATTGACTGACTGAATATACTGCATTTCTGGTCAAGTGGAGCATTTAGAGGGACATGAAAGTTTAATCTAAGTTTTATTTGACCACATGGCACTCTGGGCAGGAGTAGTTCTATCTTGGGCTTAGAAAGTTATTTCAATAGACACAAGTAAAGTGCTACATTAATTATTGAAGACTGCTTAAGGCAGTTGTTTAATTTAATTATAGTACCTTGGTTGATTTATTTTGATTAGCATAGTTGCAAAAATGTGGGATTTATTCTGTAATATTCTATTATAAATTTGTATAATGTTATTTTCTCATAAAATATAAGTGGAGAAAAATATACTTTCTATTGATGGGATACTTACTTGGAAGAATTACACAAGACTTTCAAAAACTTAATTTAAAATAAATGCTTTAGGTTAACCAAAGTACATTTAAGAAGTGATTCTTCACTGAAAATTCCTATAGATTCGAAAGCATGCCTGTAATAGAGAACTCTTTTGAATTAGACCTTGTAAATAATTAGTAATGGTGACAGAAATAAAATGAGAAACTTTAAAATGTTTACATTTCTCTCCACATTTTGTAAGCTCATTTTGTAATTCAAAGGTTTGCTTATCTTGGCTTACACATTAAAGTTATTCTAAATGACATGTTATTACTCAGTAATACTTCACAAACTATTGAACAGCTACAGTTAATGAGTTAAAGGTAAGAACATTTTTTAAATAGATTATAAAAGTTTAATAGATGCTACTCTTTCATATTGTAAATTTATAATTATTCAACTTCATCATAAAAACCTTTAATTAACTTTTATAACTTTGTCTCAGAACTACAAATGAAAAATCTTTTCTATTAATAATGACTACTACAATTTTCACGGCAGCAAAATTTTGGTTAGTTACTTATGTTCATGAAATACTTATTGGGACCCTCTATTATAAGGACTAAAATATTTTTGTTATTTCAATGTGTTCTTAATTTTAAATTTATAGTTTGATTGAGAATTGTGAATATATACATACATATAATAATTGCCAATATGTTGACTTAATCACAAGTAATAGGTCAGGTTAGTACTATCAAGTCATGTTGGGGCTTATTCTTCCATACTCCCACTTATTCTCTGGGGTCAAGGCCCTGTACTCTGTTACTCTAGCTTCTATGAGCTTTATTATTTTAGCAACCCATGTGGGGTTGTCAACAAAGGAAAAAAATTAAAGTTGTTACATTAGATGATCCATGGTCAATATGCAGAAAGTTGTTCTTAGAAAACCTACACTTTAAGATAAAAACAAAGAATAACCCATATACGGCTGTCCTGCCTGGACAAAACAGGGCCCTCTTTGGCCAAGAAGGGTCTATAAGAACAGAGTCTTGGCCTCCATATTTTGATTGATCTTCAACAATATTTGTACTCAGGACTTGGTAGTTCCCTGAAAGTAATCAAGCTTTTCTACTCCTAGGGCCATTTAAGCCAGGTCAGATCCTTTCATCACTGCTACGTGCAACACCTCCTCTGAGTTTTAATTCCCCTTCCTTCCTTCTTTAGTTGAGGGCCTCTCTTTGCGTTGCTCAGAAATGTTTTGAAAGTAAAAACTTGAATATTAATGGAGGCCGTAACAATCTTACTTCTCCATAAAATAGAATTTGAGTTGACCTTTCAGAAATTACCTAGCTAAATACTAAACTTATGAATTAGCTGATGAAAATCAGTTGAGAGGAAAGGATAGAGAGCGAGAATGTTAAATTGGGTCACAGGAATTGTTAGAGCTGCTACTCAATAAGAGATGTACCCCTCACTGCAAACTTTGTTATTCTGCTTGTGATGCTCCTTGACATTTATGCCTTTTTTTTTTTTTTGAGGGATTTGAATGTTTTGAATGTTTAGGAGGACTTTCAGCTATGGTAAGCAGAGAATAGGCTTTTTTCTGTATTTGTCAGGATAATAATAACCGATCACTGATGCATTAGTTGCATAGTGACGACAAAAATATATTTCTATGAGGTATTTTTAACTCATTCTTTCTGTAGGATAGATGTTTGTGAATTTTTAAAGAGAAAAAATATTAACACAGTACATTTCTTCTGGAATTTTTAAGAGGATTTAAGTTGAATGACACATCATATGCATTTAAATAAAGTGTATGCCTCACTGTATTCACTGTTACTCTGGGCCACATATTATAACAATGAAAGAACTCTCTACTGTATAAATCATATCTTTTAATACCATGACAGTACAAACTAAAATGATATTTGGCCTCCTAAAAAATCCCCCAGCCTCACAAACCAACGTTGGACATGGTTTGATAATTTGAGAAAGATGAACACACACACATACCCCTTCTGTTTCGCTTTGACTTTTTATATAAGCTGTGGGCTAGTCAAGTTTGAGAAATAAAATAACAGTGTTTAGTTCCTTTGAAGACTTCTTCTCGCGCTTTGAATTATTTAAGAAAAGGCAAATATAAACCTATTTGGATTACTATGTTTTTAATCCAAGTATAACCCATAAAAATGAACCTGATAGATATAGAGAGTGACATATAGATCTATAGATATTAACATACCAATACAGATGTGTGCATGAATGTAACCCACTAGTGGAATAAGTGGGCATATCTCTCAGTGTCTTGCCAATGATTTTAACCTGAAATCACATTTCCTCCTCTGATATGAACATATATTAGTAAGGTTGGATTTTAGTCAAAATCTGAGTTTTATAGTGTTATTAATTTTAAAAACTGATTTATTATATGGCTGGATAGGCTCACAATGGAACCATTGTTGACTACTCACTATCAAATATGGAATATAGAATTAAAGTATAAAATGATTACTGCTGGTTCCATCTAAAAAATTCATTGCTTTTAAAATTAGTTATGAGTCATATAATTAATAAAAAAATGAGTTACTATTTTGATTTGTAAGCATTGTGTATAAAAATTGATTAACATAATCATGCAAAAATGGAAATAGAGCTTAGAAATTAGCATCATTTTCTAATTTACTCTATGATTTATTATAATCTCTTAACTAGTCTACACAGCTAGCGGTTAGCTGGCTTTCCAGAGAAAATGGCTTTGTTTAAGACAGGATTAGAAAATACTTTAGATTAACTTCAACCAAAATGGTAGCAAAATTGCATAAAAACTAGCTGCTGGGTTCTGATGTCATCTCAGAGATATGGCCAATCAGGTAGTGTTTCTCATTCCCTTACGATAAAAAAAAAAACCTTAAAAAATCCAAATTAATGATTTTTTTCCAATCAGACAATGAAAGCTGCAATGGGAAAAAATTAAAATCAGGAATGTGAAATGCACTCTTGGGGAGAAACAAGATCCAGGAATTTGCTTACCTGAGACATAAGATACGTAGTGGCAATATAAGCTGGTAAGAAGCAGCAAGCAGAAAATTTTAAATAATTGCTAAAGTCTGAGTATGGGTGAACATGAGAGCTGGAAGCCTCGTGGGGATACAGGCAAATGTAATTTTGTATCCTTTTGCAACCTCTTCCTCAAGAACCCCACCAGGTGCTCACAGGGAAGACTGGACAAAACCCTCGGAAAGCTTCTCTCATGGTTCTGTCTGGGAAGTGAAACAGCATCTACTGCCTAATATCCACTCAGTGTCATCTTCTCTTACTCCCATGTGGAATAAAGCCTTAAAGTGCAAGATCATCAAAACCTGTTGCTTGAGGGCACAGATGGGAATCCACTGTGGTTGCAAGAGAGGAAGGAAGAGGAAAAAAAAAACCTGTGCCTTGAGAAGGGCAGAATCGGTTCGAAGCCCAGCATTACCTTTGGAGGAGGGGCATGTATGTTTGTGAAAGCCTCACATCGGGGACTCGTGTTTACAGCGCCTCCCTAAGACCGCAGCTTAACCAGAACTTGAGAGAATGACCCCTCTTCCCTTAGCTTCCAACTACCATATGCAAAAGATTCAGGTAAGTGCAAAAGTGGAATGTAGCTAGGAGAGATGCAAGAGAGAGATCCTTTCTGGTGAACAGCACAAAGTGGAGAATAAATATGTGATATTTCACATAGAAAAAGAGTAAAGTTAGAGTTGACAATAAAACTATATTAAATTCTACTGAGCAAGAGCAGGAGACTGCCCTTACAAAATGTTTCTTATAGGTTCTCCCTTAATTTCTCAATTTACATACTTTGAATATAAAGAATATTAGAAAAATAGTTGCGCTGGTTTAGCTAAAAAACAAAAGGGAAACAAATAAATTGAGGGAATTAATGAAGTGTCTCTAAGGGGGAATCAAGTGACCAATTATTCTTTATCTCATAAGGGCCAATTTCTCTAGATATTAAACAAAAATCTTGCAAATTTTTGATTGACAGGCCTTATGTGATATGTCCTGACCCTCATCCAACCTCTCCCTGGGAGCCAAAAACTATCGTGTGCTAGGTACCTTCAATAACCTTCAAACAGTTTGCATGTCCCAATCCAACTGTCACCCTCAGATCTTTAATTGAGAAACATTCTTTCCTCCTTTGTGACATCACATCCACTAACTAAATGGGGTGGTGTGGGGAATTTACTATAAAATACATGCTCTCCTGATGGCCTATTCCTGGACATCCCTGAGGACTCTATCAGAATCAGATCATAGGTAATTTAAACATTGATTTATCCATACTCTAAACAGAAGTTTAAAGTCTAAGAAGTAATCGTAACTATTTTGATTTTCCAATATTATTGGGCTGAACCTGTCAGTTCCAGACTGAACCCTCCAAACATCCAGACTTGCATCATATCCTGTAAAACCAGAACCAAAAGAAGTACTAGAATCAGTAAGATGAAAACCTAATAGAGAAATGAGTCATTGACCTTTGTACTATTCCTTGTAATACTTCTGTTCTCTAAGTTAAAGAAAGATAAGGAAAAAAAATCCAAAGGGTAGGGATATAGATTTGTTCAGAATCTCAGGAGTATAAATCTAATAATCATTTCCTACTTCCCTGTAGTACCAAATCCAAATATTCTTTTACCTTTGGTGCACCATAAAACTGTATTTTACAGCTATAAACCTATTTTCTGTTCTTTGAGCATCTTTTTTCTTCAAAGATTCGTTTCTTTGCTTTCTTCTGGGAAAATCAATAAAGTCCTCAAATTAAATGCAAGACCTCAAGTCTTACATTTCCCTCTGTTTTATGTTTATCTCATATATTGATCATTTTTGTTGTACTCTAAAGTTGATTTGAGCTCTAGAACTGACTCCATCTATCTTCTTATTGTTTTATCTTTAATTGGTTTTATCTTTTACACACTTTCTAAAGAGAAGTAAAAATTTTGTCAAAGTAAAGTGTATTCCTTGGGACATAATTAATCCCAAGGAGGTAAATTTCTCACCCCTGAAAAATTGTAACAATTCAGAATTTTCTCAGGATAGTAACTAAGAGACCATACAGATGATTCCTGGGTCTCACTGTTTATAGCAGTCATTGGGTTCCCAAATGTATTCATTTCCTATTGCTGCACAACAAATTAGAGCAAACTTAGAGATGCTTACAACAACATACATTTATTATGTTACAATGCCCATGGTCAGGAGTCCAGGCACAGCTTACATGGGCTTCTGCTCAGGGTCTTGAAAGCTAACATCAAAGTATCAGCCACATTGCTGTTCTCTTCTGGAACTTGAGGTCCTCTTCCAAACTTGTTAGCTTATTGACAGAATTTGGTACCTTGTGGCTGTAGCATTGAGGTCCTCAGCTACTGAGGGATGCTGCTTTCCACTGGCAGCTTTCAACATGGCTGTTAGTTTCTCTTTGAGGCCAGTAGGAAAGTCTCTTGCTTTTACAGCTTTCACCTGATTAAGTCAGTCCCACCCAGAATGATGTCCCTTTTGAATCACTCAAAGTCAACTAATTAGGGACTTCAATTACATCTGCAAAGTATTTTCACCTTTGCCATGAAACAATATCTAATCACAGAAGTGACATTTATCATGTTCACAGATCCTACCTACATACAAGGGGAGGGGACTGTAGGGCATGCACAGGTCGGGGCTACTGGCTACCACACTAATTTTCAGAAATTGTCTCAATACTGTATGACTTAACCAGTTCTTTCATAACCAAATCTTTTCTCTGGTAATTTAAGCATGAATAGGCATTTTGTGCTTTAGAAATTAGCTCTTCGGCAGCCAGCTCCATGGTGTAGTGGTTGGGTTCAGCACACTCCACTTTGGCAGCCTGAGTTCACAGGTTTGGATCCTGGGCACTGACCTGCACCACTTATTAGCCATGTGTTGGCAGCGACCCACATACAAAGTAGAGGAAGATTGGTGCAGATGTCAGCTCAGGGCTAATCTTCCCCAAGTAAAACAAAGAGGAAGATTTGCAACAGATGTTAGTCAGGGTGAATCTTCCTTAGCAAAAACAAAAACAAAAAATTAGCTCTTCAACAACTTCTCACCATAGGCCTACCCCATCATAAATCTCTCTGTCTATTCACACATAAGAGATCTGAATAAGCCCTTGGTGTTCTGACTCAGCTTTATGGAATCATTACAGATCAATACCACATAGCTGTTTTTCAATTGACCCAGTACCAAAGTCCTACTCATCTAAAGCTGATAGCAGCAGCTGCCAACTTGGGGGCTTCTACTAACATGATTTCTTTTGTAGTCTATCTTAAACTTAATAGTCACTTATGTTGCCAGTCTTTGCCACTCACTGAAAATATGCAATATTTCCTAGTAAGAAGGCTTACTTTCTATGAAGTCTTATTACTCTCTCCCTCCTGCATTTCCGTTCATCACTGTGATACTTTAAATCTTACTTCTTTTCTTCCATAGAAGACGGGAAGCTCATGACTCCCTAACTACTGTTTTTTAAATATCTAATAGATTTATTTAAATACACCTAAGAAGTTTATTAAAACATGCCTAGAAATCTAGATTTAATCTTTTTTTTTGTAGGTCATATCTTAAGAGTGAAACCAAAACATATCGAGCAGGATACATTGTAACAGATCTCAATTCACCACTAGAATATGACTCCTTCCCAGAAGCAAAAATCTGCCCAGGCGACAGAATTTGTTATGGTCCCAATAGCTTCCTGGCTAAATGAAAAAGAAGGTTTATACCTACAATGATAGTTGAATTGAAAGAAAAAGAAAGCTTTGAGGAGAGTCTATTATTTCTGAAAGCTTTAGAGAAAATAAAGGTACTTACCTAAGTAGGAACTCTTAATTTAAAATGGTCAGCAGATTAGAAGCATTTTAAAAGCTCTAATGGTTTTTAAAGAGTTTGCTATTTTCAAGATAGAAGTCCAGTCAAAAAGAGACATCAAAGCAAAAGAATGCCCCAGTTGACCATTATGTCAAACCGGCTGTCCTCACCATGATCTCAATCCTCACAATACTAAAAGAGACCATATTGTTGGAAGTTCAAAAAGAATGTTATGGAATATTATACAACACCAGCTTTTGGTTCCAAAGTTAGAAAAAGGCATTTATTACACAGAAAGAATCCCTTCTACACTTAGAGTGGCTGCTTGTGGCCTCAAATGAAATCTTGAAAGAATTTTACATGATACTGCCCACACCTAGGACAAATTGACCACTGTATTCAATCAACATTATTAAGGAAATAAATAAATTTCATTGCCTATTCTTGATAAGTGGTACCAAAGATTTATAATACATGGGGCCAGCCCCGTGGCCGAGTGGTTAAGTTTGCACACTATGCTTTGGCGGCCCAGAGTTTTGCTGCTTCGGATCCTGGATGTGGACATGGCACCACTCATCAAACCATGCTGAGGTGGTGTCCCACATAGCACAACCAGAAGGACCTTCAACTAGAATATACAACTATGTACCGGGGGGCTTTAGGGAAAAGAAGAAGGAGAAGGAGAAGAAGAAGAAAAGAAGATTGGCAACAGATGTTAGCTCAGGTGCCAATCTTTGAAAAAAAATTATAATACTATTTGACAAACCCATGAGGGCATTTAGGTCAAAACCAGATCACTCAGTTGTCCCCCAAAACTGATATTCAAAAGCCTACTGGCTATTATTCAGAAACTGAGGGATATGTTACCTTGTTAAACTGATGACTGCCTTAAGAATAGTAGCCAAGAACATCACCTAGTATCCATTTTGGCCCATCAGTTTCCACTCTCAAAAACGAGTTAGTTAAATGAATTCAAGAAGGAGATAAAATGAACCTTGATTTTAAGACCCAAATCCTAACTTCTCAAAAGAAATTCTGGAGTTTTCTTCTCTGCTCAAGCCTTTTCACTTTATGCTTTATACAAGAATCAGAAGTAGGGTGAATTCTGCATGCTATGGTTCAGAGACTAGTGGTGGGTGGGAGGGGGAACTAGACAATGCTACCAACTCTTGGCCAAAATGGCATTTCATTGGACAGGTAGGCATTATTAGTTCAGGGTAGATCACTTTAGATATAATATTGGCTTTTGAGGGTGTATATATGTGATTTTAGGAGAAGAATATTGAGCTCCCATCCCTACAAAGCGCTCTGGCATTTTTAACATTACTAAGATAATCTGGGGAACAAGGAATCATTAAATTGGGTAATTTGGCTAAAACTTCTGTATTGGTTCTGTAGGCTCTTTGGATTAGGAAAAGTTGAGGTGAGTAGTTGCATACTGATGACGACACAATTGTTTGTTCATAAGCAGGAAATTCAGGCAACAATTTAGTTATCCTGCTCCAGGAGTATGTTTACCACAGTGCTCTTATAACTTCCCAACTTGGGAATAATAATAGAGAATAGTGTTCAAAGAACCATTGTGAAAAGAGCTGGCATCTCTGCTGGTGGCACTCATGATTTTGTGTGTTTAACAAGTTTAACAAGCAACTATTAGGCGTACTTAAGTTTGAGGATCACTGGTCTACAAAGGACAGTGTTTTTTTCCACAGAGAACAATCATTATTGCTTAACAAAAACAACAGCAACATACTGTCTTTTCAAGCACTAAGCTAAAGGTGGGAAAGAACAATAGGTCACCTTTGTCAACTTGGATAAATCAGACATAGGCAACTACAAATAACAAGGTGATCAATGTCCACATCCTTAGACCCTAAAAGTGAGCTTAAAAACATCAAGGAAGTATTCTAAAAAATGTAAACTACTCTGCTAGTTTTCAAGAAAATAGTTTCTGGGGTGTACAGTATATATGTTTGAAATAGTCCTTTTAAATAATAGAGAATCCAAAGGTGTTATTTGAATACTCTATTTAATTAATTTGTATAGATAAAGAACATATCTTAATGGGCCATTAAAAAGAGAGGCTCTGGAACATGGTTTGAGTAATAGGAGCAATATGTAATTATGTAGATATAGAGTACATATCTGTAGGTTGCTGTCAGAAAATGTATAGACAAAAATATTAATGTGCACTAATCCATAGCATTCCCTTCAATCATAAACAAACATTGACATTTAAGCACCATATTTACATCACAAATATGTAATAAGACAGTATTTACTCTCACATTTGAAAACAATGATACTCATAAGAGATAAGAAATAAAATAAATATATATACCATTGCTAATGTGATTTGTGAAATACAAATTTTGCTTCTGTGTTGCAAATTGTAACTGCACACCCTGCGTTAACTTAGGATCAATACTGAATCT